CCTATATCTCTATTATAAAGGTATTTTTCAACTTTTATTGTTCAAATTGATATCATGATCCCCAACATTTAAACCGATGGTTTAATGACCTTGTCCAAATCAATTATTACTTCAGTGGTTCAACATTATTGTTTGCATTTTCCTGTAAAAGAGCTCATTCCTTTCCCTTCCTTTCCCTCCCCTCTCACCCACCTCTATCTATCTCATTGTGATGTACACATTTTCCTTTTTTTTTAAATCCAAATGTATTATATTCCATTATCATCATTATTCCTTTTGATGTTCAGTTTGTTTCTATTTCTTTTAGTGGGATCTCCTTTAAACTGTTGTCTATGTCCTTCTGGAATGTCCCTATTAGATTTGAGACATCTCCTTGTTGCTGGGCACAATAAGTTATTCTAGTATCACCTTCTATTCTCCCTACCACAGATGGGAACCTTTTAAAATTCTTATTTTCCCCCATGTCATTTATAGACATAGAAAGAGTTTACAGAACAAAAGTCCTTAAATTAAAGAAGTATTTAAAAATCTCTGCTCAGAGAGTAAGGATTCGATTGAGAAAAATTAAAAAAAGCAAGGTGAGTTTTAAATAGATTATCACCCTTATTTGCTTTTATTGTAATATGTCAGACCATCCTCTACTCTTAATCAATCTTACTATCTCTTAACTATTATAATTGGTTGTTTATCTGGAAAGGAAGGGAAAAGCATGTGGGCTGAAAATAAAGAGTTTTGTCTGAATACAGGAAACTATAAACATTATATAAATTGTATTAGCAATGATTTTTTTAAATGCCGATAATTAAACTAGAATGGAACTGGCACTTTGTGATATTGCTTCTTTAATACTCCTGATATTGGAGCATATGATGAGCAAATTCCATCAGTTGGTTTTAGTCAATCCTCCAACATCCTCACCAAGCGAGCCACATTCAGAGACTATTGCTTTGACACACCATAGGGAGCTCTGCAGCTAAATATTGCATGTTTCCACAAGGAGCTATCTCTCTAGGCCCTACCTCTACCAGAAATAGAAATGACTTTGGCCAATATGCATTCACTGTGTACCAATTCCTACCTAGCTCAACACTGAACCCACTAACCCCAGAGGCCAAAATAGAGCATGGGGAGGGGAAAGGGATGATCCAGGCAGCTCTGCTCCCCAGTCTGGCTGGGACAGGGACACACTGGATGGTCTAGCAGTGTTTCCCAATATGTGTCCTGAGGATCATTATTCTGAAAACTATCCTCTAGAAAACTCAAATTTCATGGCCAAATAAATTTCAGAAAGAATGTAGTCTGAACTTTCTTCTAGAGGTTTCATGAATCACATTGGCATTTGAAGGGTTATGAAAAGCCCTGCTCTCCTTTCCAGGAACACCTTTTAGTGTTGAAACTTAGCTTGGGAAATGCTTGCAAATACTCCACATTTAACCACTATGTAGCTTCAGATACAGCTACAAGATAATTCTTGGTTCCTCTGTCAAAGAATTGTTGTTCAACAAAAGTTTAGTGTAATGGGCCTCCCCTGGTGGCGCAGCGGTTGAGCGCTGGGCTGCAAAGCTGCCCGCAGCCTCTGCAGTGCCAGTTCTATCCCCGGCTGCCAGGCGAGGGTCCCACATGGTGCGACAGACCTCTCCTGCCGCGCCCACTGCTCCCCTCTGCAGTGTACTTCGGTCCTTCTGCCTGTTCTGCTCCCCGCTCTGGTTCTGTTGAATTCTCTCATCCCCCTCTCTCCCCACCCCCCGCTTCTGATTGTACCCAGTGCTTGTGTAAATAAATAAATAAATCTTTAAAAAATAAAAAAAAGTTTAGTGTAAGAATTAAACTAGAAATGGGGTGTTCAGATTTTCTGATAACCAAATGATAATATATAAATTTTACCTTAGGGCCTCCCTGATGGCACAATGCATTAAGACGCATCCTATGAAGCATCTGCAGCCACTGGAGCACAAGTTCAATCCCTGGCCAGGGAGATACCCACATGGCACAACAGACCTCTCCTGACTCACCTGATGCTGCCCTCAGCAGTGTGTTTCTGTAAATCTGCCTCTTTTGTTCCCCATGCTGTCTCTGGTGAATCCTCTCACCCCTCACACCTCTGGCCTATATCCCAGTTCTTGTATGCATAAATAAATATTTTTAAAATAATAACAAATAAATTTTACCTTAATATAGGAACACATATATTTTTGAAAACCAAATAGAGGAAACCTACATTTATGTCCAAATTATAATGGATCACAGTAGTATACTCCTAATAAAAATATTTGCCATCATGGATCCACAACCCAATTATGTTTGCCTTTTTATGTACAAAGTGAAATAGAGAACAAAGTACCAAACATTAAGTCAACTTTTCTTTCTACCACAATATAGTGGTGTTTGTTAATTTTCAGACAATTCAAACTATCTAGATTTGAAAATGGGAGCCAAAGTCATCAGTGAAGTCCTTGTAATTCTCATTTAACTGTTTAAATATACTTCATTAATAACTTAGACCTCAAGTAAATAGTCATTTGACCATCTGTGAAACCAGTAAAGAAATATACATAATGTTATTTGTATAATGTATAATGTATATCTGGCCACTCAATTTTCTACGAAAAATAGATTTGCATGCTATATACTCTGGGTTCATATATTAAAGTATCCTAAAAACAGTTTGACAAATATAAAGTATCTTCTAAAAAAAGAAGTCTTAGATTTCCTTTCTAACTTAAGCTGTTCATACTTGTAAAAGGAAAAATTTGATTTTATGACTGTTAGATTAATGAGGAAATCAAAGCAGAAGTTGAAAAATACCTGGAGATGAATGAAAATGAAGGTACAACCTAGAGAACCTCTGTGATGCAGTACAAGCAGTTCTAAGAGGGCATTACATAGCAATACAGGCCCACACCAAGAAACAAAAATATGCTCAAATAAATTATCTAACCTTACATCCTAAGGAACTAGAAAAAGAGTCAAAAGTATAAAATGGAGAAGGAAAGTCTCTTCAACAAATAGTGTTGGGAGAACTGGATGGCCACATACAGAAAAATGACACTAGACCACTCTATACTATATTATACCATGCTATGCTATGCTATACTATACTATATGTATTATGCACTAAAATCAATGCAAAGTGGATTAAAGACTTGGAATATAAGACCAGGATCCATTAAATACATAGAAGAAATTATAGGCAAAACATTCTACAACATTAGTTTCAGGGATGACTTTGGGGCCCCAACTACAACAGCAAGGAAAATACAAATAAAGTTAAACAAATGGAACTACATCAAACTAAAAAGCTTCTGTAAAGTGAAAGAAATTATCAATAAAACAAAAAGATACATTACTGAATAGAAAAAAAAAATTCTCAAATCATACATCCCACAAAGAACTAATGTCTTGATCTACAAAGAACTCATACAACTCAATAAAAAGAAAACAAAGAACCCAATCAAAGAAATGGGTAGAGTTGCTAAATAGACATTTCTCAAAAAAGACATACATATGGCCTACAGGAACACGAAAAAATAATCATCATCACTTCTCAGGGAAATGGAAATCAAAATCACATATAAAAAAAAAAAAAAACCCAGAAACAAATGTTGGTGGGAATGCAGACTGATAGAGATCCTCTGGGATTGCAAACAGTACGGAGATTTCTCAAAATATTAAAAGTAGATCCAACATATGATCCAGTAATTCCACTCCTTGACATCTATCCCAAGAATACAAAATTACTAACTCAAAAGATTATATACTCCTTTTGTCCACTGAAGCACTAATTCTAATAACCAAGTCAAGGAAACAACATAGTGCCCAATGACAAATGACTGGATCAAGACGCTATGGCACTTAGACAATTATGGCATACTATTCAGCTATAAAAAAAAAAATGAACTCCTGGGCCTCCCCGGTAGCGCAGCGGTTGAGCGCTGGGTTGTGAAGCTGCCTGCAGCCTCTGCAGCGCCAGTTCGATCCCCGGCTGCTCCCCAGCCCCTGGAGGAGGGTCCCACATGGCACGCAGACCTCTCCTGCCACCTGCTGCTCCCCTCAGCAGTGTACTTCGGTCCTCCTGCCTGCTCTGCTCCCCGCTCTGGCTCTGGTGAATTCTCTCACCCTCCTGTGCTTCTGACTGTACCCAGTACTTGTATAAATAAAAATAAATCTTAAAAAAAAAAAGTCTTTAAAAAAAAAAAAACAAACTCCTGCCATTTGTGACAACATGGATGGAATTGGAGTGGATTATGCTCAGTGAAATAAGCCAGTGGGAGAAAGACAAATACTGGATAACTTTATTCATATGTGGGATATACAGAGGAACAAACAGAGGAACTGAGAGAACTATACCAAAGTCTAGACATGACTGCAGAATTGAGGCCACTTAGAGGAGGTGAATGGGGATGGGAACAAAGTTGGGGAGGGGGCCCAGTGATATATGACAAGGGTTATGGGTGCTCTGGAGTTAGTATCGTGTGGTGATTCACATCTTGGGAGGTGTGAACCTATTCCTTTGAATCATATACAGTAATGTAAACCAATGGCACCTCAAACAAAAATATCTTCCACATAAAAAAATACTCATTTTACATAAAAAAAATAAAAGAAATCTTGACTCCATTGAACTTATCTATATTTAACATCAATTTTTTAAAATGCAACTCTTTAAGACTCATATAAACCTGTGAAAAGATACATTCAGATTTAAATTTGAATGTCATTGCCTATTTTATTCGTTTTAACTGAAAATCATAAAACATATATGCACAACATTCTCCCTTTCCAAAATACAGTTGGTAAAAATATCACATGGTAATACAATATGCATCAAAAAGAAAGCATTCAAAGACTTCCTCCTCCTAAAATCTGGGGGTAGGTCGCTGTTATTGGACTTATTTAATACTTCGATGTTAGAATGAACTTTGTCTTCTTCACTCATTGCATTTCAGTTTAGTGGTCAGAAATGATCATGTTTTCAAGGATCTCTAATGTCAGTGCCTTACCAGTGTAGATGCTGGCATTGGAAGCTGGAATACCAAACTGTGACTCGATGAACTTGGGAATGAAGGTAATGAAAGCAGTTACAATGGCACTCTCAGCTGTGTATGACAAACTCACAAAAAGGAATGTCATGTTGCTTAAGATCCTGACAGCTGCTCTTGGTAGGTCTACAAAATGACAAAAATGACAAATGAATGTTATAAACAAGGGATGGGAAATAAAATAATATTGAATTGTTTTTGCAATGAACTGGAAATAGCCATTCAGCAACAATTGAGAATATTGAATTGAGAATAAAAATAGAAAAAACCTGATGACTAATCAGAAATTGTCATCTTTACTAAGATTTTCAACTTTTACAAATTTTCAACTAGGATAAGAAATTTAAATAAAGAATCCAAACACACATATAAATATCCTTATAAGTGCCCAGCCTGTGACTCCTGACTCCAAAACTATTTAAAATAAATTAATTGCACTTTTTATTGATTAAAGCAACATTCTTCTTCAACAAGATCTCAAATTCTACTAATAGCATGAAGTACCTACAACACAGTACTAAAATTACAGTTTCTACTTCACTGAACTAACATGTCCCTGAGAAAATGTACTTCTGAGATGCCATCTCTCTGGCCCCCCAGACACCCACAACAGAACTTGTAATGATGTCAGGCTCTGATCTTCCAGCCTCATTATAAAACAGGAAATATTATAGCTAAAAGAGCATGAGGGGCAGGCCACCAGATCAAACACTCCCAGGTAGTTTGGATTGGGGAACAAAGAGAAATGATCTCCAAAAGAGAAGGAAAACTTGATGTGGGGGTTCTCTACATGCACAGCTGCCTCTCAAATAAGAGAAAATTTTGTTCTAGAATCAGGCATTATTTTCACACTTGCCACATATATGCATCAAGATGTATGTGCAAATGTTTTCATTATAATATTGGTTATAATTGCAGAAAATGGGAGGGATGAATTTAAGTAAATTATGGCATATAATGAAATACTCTGCAGTTGTTAAAATGAAAGAGTGTTATGTAGCAGCATAAAAGGAACACGAAAGAGTACTTTTATTAATGAATAAATCAAGCTGCTGCAGAAATAAATACATACATGTGTTTGTATTTTTACGTGTTTATGTAAAAATCGAACAAAGCAAGCTATTTACATATGATCAAATGTGCAGTTCTCCATATACATAACATCCAGAAATTCTATGAATGTAAGATTGGGAAGGATTAATAAAAGGGGATTCCCACATATATACTTTTATATATTTGCATGTTTATAATGTGATTTCACTCAATTCACATAATCTTTACGAATCTTCACAGGAAGAATAAATTGCACTCTTCTTTGACACATACAGTAATCTCATCTACCAGAACAGTTATCTCTTTATGTTACAGCATAATAAAATTATTTCACAGCAGTTTAGCAGCAATTGTTATTTTAGCTGTAATTCACAGCCTATTCACCAGAATTTAAAAATTAGGAAATCAAGACTATATCCTGTTATAATTTTAAAATGTAAATTAATTTTAATGTTTTACATCTTAATTTAATAACCTTAAGTTTAAATGAACTTTTTAAAAGAAGAATTAAGATGCACACTATATTTTTAACATGGACTAACACACCAGAAAAATATACATCATCAAAATGCTTCATAAAATTACCCAATATTCTCTTGTAAACACTGTAAATCAAAATGTTATATCCAAAATTTTAAAGTTAGAACATTAAGATTTCCATTCAACATTTATGATCAAAGTAAGTTTAGCTGGCATATTAAAAATCAATGTGTTAAATTGAAAACATTGGGGGATTTCTTATTTAAAGCTTCAATTTCTATTTTCTGTTCATTGCTATAAAAATGATGAAATCTTGCCATTTGAGATAACATGGATGGAATGGGAAAGTATATGCTAAGTGAAATAAATCAGATGGAGAAAGACAAATACCTGATGCTTCACTCATATTGTGGAATGTTGAGAAACAAAAGAAATGAAGAGATAAAATATGGGGCCTCCCTGGTGGCACAAAGAGTTAATACGCAACCTATGAAGCTAACCACAGCCACTGCAGCACGAGTTCGATCTGTGGCCAGCCAGGGAGCAACCTACATGGCGAGGCAGACCTCTCCTGTCTCACCTGCTGCTCCCCTCAGCAGTGTATTTCAGTAAATCTGCCTGTTCTGTTTCCCACTCTGGTGAATCCTCTCACTGCCCACACCTCTGGCCTGTAACCCTGTTCTTGTGCGCATAAATAAATAAATACTTTTTTAAAAAGAGAGATAAAATATGAGTGCACAACTGAGGCTAAACTAGAAATATGACTATACTATTGGGGCTACTAGAAGGGGAGGCTGAGAACAAAGTGGAGAGGTACCCAATGGTCTATGGTAAAGGGACAAGGGTGCTTTGATGGTGGGTGTGGTGTGGTGACATACATTTGAGAAGGTGCGAACCTGTTTCCCTAAATCATAAACAGTGTTGTGCACCAATGTTACTTAAATAATAATTTAAAAAAACTTTAAATAAAACTGGGGAAAATATAAAATAAAAATTTTAATCTAAGAAGATGACACACATATTACATAAATAGTGTAAAAGACACTAGTTATAAAAAACTGCTTTTTTTATGTACCTACTTTATATACCTATTTATGTATGATCAAATGTGCAGTTCTCCATATACATAACATCCAGAAATTCTGTAAATGTAAGATTGGAAAAGATTAATAAAAGGGGATTCCCACATATATACTTTTATATATTTGCATGTTAATAATGTGATTTCATTCAATTCATATATATATATATATATCTAAAAGACACTAGTTATAAAAAACTGCTTTTTTTATATACCTACTTATTACAGTAGAATAGCATTCTAATTTCAAAAGCAACTAAAGATATATGCAATGGTTCTCTTTTCTTTCATTTAAAAATAAGCCTGCTTTTTAAGAAGAATTTAGCAAAAATTCATACTTTGAACAACTTTAAGCTAGCATCATTCTTTTTCTTTCACCTTCTTCTTTTCCCTTTGCTGGAGATGAACTTTCAGCCTATGTGCCTTGCAGAAATGAGGGGCCAGGGATCTAGGGTTGTCTTTGGTAGGTGGGACTGGAGCGTTGTTTATGAATGGGAATCAACAAATATGTTACTATATGGAGAATAATGGGAAATTGTGTTTTTAACCACCAGAGAAGGAAATTACAAGTATGAGAAAGGAATAATTAGTTATGTTAGAACTGGAAATATTGATAATGCATTTATGATCCCAGTAGGTAGTTAGGAAGGAAGGGAGGGAGGAAGATACAATGATAGGCAAATAACTAAGATGTTATATGACACCCTGGTAGTAAAGATACAATGATAGGCAAATAACTAAGATGTATATGACACCCTGGTAGTAAAAGCCCATTTGCTATGGTTCTTGTTTTCTAAATGCCATTTTCCACTAAAAGGAACCAGAACCCCTTGGAAAAATGTCTAACTTCAAAGCTGAAGCAGATCATAAATGCATATCAAGACAAACCTAGAAAAAAGTTGCTGAACAAAAAAGTAATAAAGTGCTCAAAGAAAGGTGAGACATATCAGGACACAAAAGACAGCCTGAATGATTCTCAGTAACCAAATCTAGGACAATTTAAGCTTAATGGATGTTAAATGTAGTAAGTAAAAGCATAATAAGAACAAGATACAGTTGATTCTCATCATCCACAGAGTCAATATTTGCAAATTCACCACTTGCTAAAATGTATTTGTAACCTCAAAATTATAATATTTTTATTGAGGTAAAATTAGTTTTCAACATTGTATATGATTTAAGGGAATAGCTTCACATCTCCTCAGAGGTATGTCACCTCACGACACCAGCCACCGAAGCATTCTTACTCCTTGACATGGACCATCAGGCCCCATTTTGTCCCCATCTAACTTTAAAATTAATACTAGCAGCACATCATCACTTAAAGACATGCACAAAGTGGCACAAAAAAAAAGTGAGTTCCTGTGTGCACCTAGCTGGTAACAGGGCAAGTTAACATAGTGTGGCTTCCATTACAACGCACTGAACATGGCATCATGTCAGTGACATGCCCACAATAGTGCATAAATCAGGAGGCTATATCACTAAACCCAAATTGAGGCATATTCTAGAATGTTACTAGCTTGACTTTTTTAAAAGATCAAGGTCATATAAGACAAGAAAAGATGAGGAACTGATGCAAATTAAAGAAGGCAAAAGACATGACAACTAAATACAAGATGTGATACCGGATTGGATCTTAAATATAAAGGCCATTGTTGGGATAACTGGCAAAATTTGAATGGGGTCTGTAGTCTGACTGGTAGTACTGAGTCAATGTTCATTTCCTGATTTTAATATCTGTACTGGGGTCAAGTAGGGGAGTGTCCGTGTATGTGGAAGAAACACACTGAACTAGCACAGACCATTAAGCATCAAGCCTGGGACATCTCAGCTGGGTCAAAAACATTAGTAATTGAGGAATAAGTTGTAGTATACACAAACACACTGTGCGTAATTTCTGTGGCTTTTATGTCCAGTCAAAATTATTTCAAAAACATAAGGTGTAAATATTTAAATTAGCAAAGAGATTGCTAAGTCCATAAATTTTCAGCCAAACATCTAATTTTCATGCTGCAGAATACATTGTAGATAAATTCCTTAGTGTCATTTATAATTGTGCCATTATAAAACAAAAAATGGGGTAAAACGCATGATGAAGGAGAGATGTAATAATGATAGTGATTATCATTTATCATTTAATGCTAAGAAATCTTACAAATTCAATTATAAGGGCAAGCTGACAATAAAACCAGAAATGCCTATGAGATTTAGGAAATGTTTAATGTCCTACAGTAGGGTAGGAACAAAATTCAATACAAAGCACTAAAATTCAAGAGACATAAAGCAGACTATATTTAGAAATCACTTTTTTATTTTTCAAATTATTCAAACATTTCCCCCTCCCCACACAGAACTCACTTTTTAAAGAATTATTACTATCACTGATATGGATATAATGATAATAATCCACATTATTTTCATTATTATTTTGCTCCCTCCCGCATGACCTCACTAGCAGTGTAGATAACTCTCCCCAGGCATAATGTGCACCTGGATCAGGTATTCAGTT